CAGGAAAGCCCAAGGGCCAAGGCCTGTACTTCATGCTTTGACTCTTTTTTTTTTTTTGAGGAAGATTGGCCCTGTGCTAACATCTGTTGCCAGTCTTCCTCTTTTTCCCTTTTTCTCCCCAAAGCCCCAGTGCATAGCTGTGTAGCATAGTTGTAGAGTTGTAGCTCTTCTATATGGGAAGCCACCTCAGCGTGGCTTGATGAGTGGTAAGTAGGTCTGTGCCCAGGATCCGAACTGGCAAACCCTGGGCCGCCGAAGCGGAGTGCATGAACTTAACCGCTATACCACCCGGCCAGCCCAAGCTTTGACTCTTTATTCCAAAAAGGAAGCCCTCCCAGGGACCGCTGCTTACATCTTATTGGCCAGAATTGGATCATGTGGCCACCCCAGAGGCAAGGAAGCCTGGGATGTCAAGCAGTTTGCCTTAAGGAAAGCAAAGGAGAGGGGGTTTGTGAATGGCTTTTCCACAGCAGATCTCTAGCGTCTGCCACATGGCATTGTTGGAGGATGACTATAGTGTGATTTCAAGCTGTGCATACAACCACCCAGAAATCTTGTTAAAATGCAGATTATGATTCAGCAGGTCTGGGGTGGGGTCTAATATTCTGTATTCCTAACAAGCTCCCAGGTGATGCTCTATTAGTTAACTACTGCTGTGTAACAAAGCCTCCCCAAACCAAGCGACTTAAAACAACTACTATCTTATTTGCTCATGATTCTGCAGGTGTCACCTAGGGTCACTCGTGGGCTGCAGGCACCTGGCAGATTACTGAGACCTGATGGCCTAGGACAGCCTCATTCACACGTGTGGTGCTTGGTACTGGCTGCCAGCTGGGCCTCTCTTTCCAGGTGGCCCCTCATCCTCCAGCAGTCTAGCCCTGGCTGCTCCACATGTAGACTGAGGGGTCCAAGAAGGCGAGAGAAGACACAGGGAAGCCTCTTGAGGCCTGGGCTCAGAAGACCCACAGTGTCATCTGCCACGATCCATCAGTCAAAGCTAGTCCAGCCCAGACACACAGGGCGAGGAAAGAGACGCCACCTCTTAGTGGGAGGAGCAGCACTCACCTTGCAGGGAGGTGTGCATGTAGGAATGGGAAGAATTGTTGCAGCCATCTTTGCTAACAATCCACCTCAGAGATCAGTGCTGCTGGCTCCTGGACCCGGTGTGAGTAGGAAAGATGCGGAACAGTGGTTCTCCACCTTGGCTGCTTACTGGAATCACACGGGAGCTTCACAAAATACTGATGCCTGCTGAAGATAAAGATACAGTTGGTCTGGATGTCAGTATTTTTAAAAGCTCACAGATGACTCTAAAGCATAGACTAGGTTCAGAGGCACTGTTTTAGAAGTTTCTAGAATGATTCCCAAGTCTCTAGTCAAGTGTTTGGGTGGATGGTGAATACAAGAGGAGCTGCTTGGGGTGGGAAGAGTATTGATAAAGTGAGTTAGGGATGTGTGGAGGGATCTCTTGGTGAAAAAGATCAGCTGATAATGCAGAGATGAGTCTAGAACTCCAAGAAGAGGTTTGCATTGAATACAAAGATTTGGGAGTTATGAACGAGCCAATTACAGTTAAAGCTAGGGTTCCACGGAGCTCACTTCGAAAAACCCTGGGGACACATATATTTGGGCTCTCAGCTCAGTGAAACCTTGATGACTGGTGAGTGCCAGGGAGGCAAGGACACCTTTCTTGGGGTGCTAAGATGGCAGACACCTCCAGCTCAGTAGTTGTGGCCACAGGGATTCAGTCATCCAACCGTTGAGTGTCATCAGTGTGCCCAGCACAGGATTAAATGACCACGGAGTTGCCTCCAGGACCAGATCTGAGAGCAAACAGGAAGTGGCAACACCGTGAACGTGCTGGGAGAGGAGCCTCTCAGCCTGGACTGCCTGGGACGCACTTCCATGAGAGTGGGGGCCACTCGTGGGGAAGATTCCTCTCTTCATCAGTTGTGCCTGGCACATGGGGTTGGGTAAGGGAAGGAAGCTAACATTTAACCTATTAGGTAGCAGGCACTGTGCTGGCTCTGCATGCATTTTCACTGAGCAAAGCCAGGAGGAAAGGCAGTGTGGGGTAGTGGTTAAGAGCTTGGCCTCTGGAGCTACACAGCCTGGTTCAAGTCTCAGTTCTGCTCCCTATTGTGTGATTTGCAAATTATTTAACCTCTCTGAGCCTCAGTTTTCTCTTTTACACATCATTCCTGTGAGGGCCCAACAGGTTAACCCACATTCAGCACCTGAAGCAGTCCCTGGCTTGAGGTACGTCCCCAGTGAATGTCACCTTTTCTTGATGGTCCTTACATTCACCCCATAAAGCAGGTGTCCTGGTTCGCAGATGAGACAACTGATGCTCAGCGAGGTAAATGACCTGCTGGAGGGCCACGGCGGTTCAGGAGGGGAGCCAGGATGCAAACCTTAGGCCATCCGTGGTCGCATGGCTCCTGCTGTTCCCTCTTCCCACCAGGTAGTGGGAACACAGGCCCCTCCACTCCCCGCCTGTCCCCTCTACCAAGGACAGGCCATCCCAGAGTGTCCCAACACTCCACTTCCCTTCCAGGCTGCGTCAATGATCGGAAAAAACAGCTGAGGCAGCTGTTCCGCTCCCTCCAAGGCCAGAAGAAAGCTGCCAGCTAATCCTGAGCCGCCGGGAGGAGAGCGACCCCGGGAGGTGCCACGCCAGTCCTCTCTCCACTCCACGTTTCCAGCACAGCAGCACCTCAGAGCATTCGCCTCCTGCCCTCCGGCCTGGCAGCAGCTTTGCTGGCTCGGGGCCTGCTGCTTGCTGCTTGTTCCGGGCCCCCTGGATGCACACTCCCCACTCCCCCTCCAGGCATCTCTGCACCAGGAGACAGCCAATCCCCAAGACTGGATGGGCTTTAACCTTCACAGATTGGCTTGGCAATCAGGCCCAAAGAGGACAAATGCAGCAAGTCCTGCTACCCGAGAGAGAGCACATCTAATAAACGAGCACAGGCCTTACTCCAAGAGTCACTGGGCACCAGGCCTAGCGCAGGGGATGCAGCCAAGTCCTCCTGGCTTTGACCCTTTGATGTCTCTCAGGTCAGTGCTGAAAGGATCCTTCAGGAACAAGGGTTCAGGGGTAGGAACTTAAGCTGTGCTTGCAAAGCAAGCAGTTATTAGACTGTGTTTATTGGGGGCCTGGGGAAGGGCTGAGCAAGCCCTAAACACATCTTCCCCTCCTTGCAATACCCTGACCTTGCATGTCAAGGGAACTCACGGAGCTCTGACCATCTGAAAACCAGTGGGCCAGAGCATCCCCATTTCTCAGATGGACAAGTAAGGATCAGGAAGGCAGAGCTGCTTAATGAGGGTCTCTGCAAAGATGCACTTATCTAAGCCAGCTGGGTGAGGCAGACGCTCTGGACCTTCCTGTTTGAGGTTGGGAGCTGAGCTTTTCAAACTAGAAAGCCTTGGGCTGGCAGGCAAGATGGCTTGGGGAGTGGAGTGCAAGTAAAATTTCTGCATTTTCCACATTCCAACATTCCTAAGCCTCCTCTTGTTTTAAGAGGGGTTGCAACGGAGTGGGCTGGTGGGCTAACTGCTCCATGGGGGACCTACCATGGGACCCCACGCAGCTCCCTCTACCATTGTCCATGCTTCAGGTCAGTTCTTTCGGCCGCAAATAGCAGAATCTGCCTGCCTAGGCAAGGGAAGCATTTTTGGAAGGAAAATACGGGCAAATCTAAGAAATGAGCCAGCCAGCCTTGGGAATGCCAGAAGCCAGGCTACTCTGGGTCTCCTGCCTCCAGAGCATGGGGACTTCCCTCCATCCCTGTGACTGAGGGAAGCCCAGACAGCCCCAGGCATGGGGTCCACGTTTCCAGGAGAATCTGATTGGCTCTTCTTTGGCCCAGCATCCACCTTGCCAGACAGGGAGGGACAATGTTCAGAAGGAGAAACTGTGAGCCAGGCAGTCATAGAAGACAGCATCTATCAAAGTGAATTCTCCAACTCCCTACTCTTTTACATTTATATTTTAAAATATGCAATATAACAGTGACACATCCTTCCCTTCCACCCTTGTGCCCCAACCATGCAGTTTCTGTCCTGAGGGAACCACGCAGTGTTTGCACACAAATTATCAGACTATTAGACACCTGTCCTGCCCCTTTTCTCACTTGATGCATCTTGGAGCTTGTTCCAAATCAGTGCTCAAAGAACTTCCTTATTCTTTTGTGTGTGTGTGTGTGTGTGTGAGGAAGATCAGCCCCGAGGTAACATCCGATGCCACTCCTCCTCTTTTTTTTTTTGCTGAGGAAGACTGGCCCTGGGTTAACATGAGTGCCCACCTTCCTCTACTTTATATGGGATGCCGCCACAGCATGGCTTGACAAGCAGTGCATCGGTGCATGCCCAGGATCTGAACCTGCAAACCCCAGGCCGCTGAAACGGAGTGCGCGCACTTAACCGCTGCGCCACCAGGCCAGCCCCAGAACTTCCTTATTCTTGATTATAGTTGTATGGTATTCCACTATCTGGAGCTATGGATTCCTTTAACTAGTCTACTGTGGATGCACAGTTAGTTTCTAATTCCACTTCCCTACTTCTTAGGGCCATCATGGGGAAAACACAGTAATTTCTACTTAAAAAATTCATGATGCAAAAATTGTGGGTCTGGGCCAAATTTGGCTTATCTAAGGTATTTTGTTTGGCCAACATGCAAGTTTCTAAAATTTTTCTGAATTAGCAATATTTAAAAGACAGACTGAATTTAAAAACCCAAATTTCTAGCTCCTCTTGGGAAAAAAACCACGAGCTCTGGCCATACCAGCCTGTGTTCCCATAAAGCTATCTGCTGGAGCCAATTGGGGTGAGGGGATCAGGCAAGGTGTGCTCACACCATTCTACCATTTGTGGTTGTTGCTGCCTGTCTAATCCTGCTGTCATTTCAAGAGGAACCACCGCCCCTTCATAGGTGGTATCCTAAAGGGCGTGCAGTGCCCTCAATGAAAGACCAAATCAGGTAAACACTAGCAGCTGCTAGGTAACATTTATTGAGCCCTCAATGAACACGGGAGACAGTTTTGCCCTCAGAGCACATTCACATTAGGATCTGAGACCCCTGAAGCAGACGGAACTCGAGCAGCACTGGCCCATGCCTGCCTTCAGAGGTGGTGGACAGGCATCCTGGATGTGTATAGCACGGTAAGAGGCAGCCCCTCCCCCAGCCCTGGTGCAGGACTCTGCAAGGCCTTCCTGCCTGAAGAGCAGCCACTCTGGGCTCGTCCTGGAGGCAAGCAGGAAAAATGGCCAACATGGAGGCAGTGGGGGGAAATGGCACACCTGCCCCACAGATGGCTATGGTGAACCACAAAGCACCGAGATCCTGTCCTTCACTCAGAAACCACCTGTGAGCCCCCTGGAATTTATTCTAATTCTGTTACACATGCTACTTGAAAACGTCTCTCTCCCTTTCTGAGAGGAATGCGGGAATGAAGCACCCACTCCTCCCCTCTCTCTTCCCTGCCTGGGGCCCATCTGAACAGCGGGCCATTGTTAGAAGTGCCTGTTGCAGACATTCTCACACCCCCACAGGCCGGCCCCCACCCACCCACTGGTGGCTGCCAGGGCCTGTCAATGCGTCTTGTGTCCATCCAGCCCCAATGCTCAGGCCCGGCAGACCCGGGCAGGCTGAGGGTTCCCTCCTGCCGTCACAGAGCAGCCAAGCGCTACAGACAAAGAGGTTCCATACAGGAGCCACGGCCAGATTCCTGACACCCGTCCCCTTGCAGGGTAGATCCTTTCCTTGCAGGTTTCCAGGTCGGAGAGTCCTAGGTCCTCCATGACCCCAGGGGGGATGCTGGTCTTAGGTCCCCCATCTTGGTTCTTGAGTTTCATCCTTTCAAGATGATCTTGAGAGCTTTAAGCTCGTCCTGGTTGAGGGGGTTCAGGTTAAAACCCTTCAGCTCCGGTTTGCCTAGGGGGAGAAAACAATCCATCAGCAGGTCTGGCCTCCAGCTGTCCAACCAACTGGCCCTGGAGTCAGGCCAAACACTTGGCCTTGAGGTCTGAGAGAGACGGGCCTCACATTCTGCAATGCACTGGACAACGCACATCGACACCTGCTCCTGAGTCACTGAGAACCTGCAGAGTCATGACTCTGCTGCCCAGAAACCTCCAGATTTCTGCCAGACCTGTGACCAACCTGGAGTGGTTAGGTTTACCCAGAAATTCAGCTCTGACCTCGACCCCTGACTGAGGCCTTCTTGAGTTCCTTCAGTGAGAGCTATCCTGGTCCCCACACCATGCCCTAGGATATATGAAATACACCAGGCCGTACCGGGGTGCCTGGAAAAGAACTCGTGCCAGGAATAAGACCCCAGACCTCCTTGTCCATTCCACCTCTGGACGGCTAGAGACAACCACTCCCCACTGCCCACAGCTTCAGTGCCACTCACATGCAGCCCAGGCCGTTGCCCACCCGGGAGGGGATTCCCACCCCTGCCCTTCAAATTCTGAGTTGATGGTTCCCTCCCCTCCTGGTTTCCAGTCCCCGCCCCAGGCCAATACCTTGGGCCTCAAAGAGGCGATTGACCTTCACTTTAAGTTGTTTCCGGAGTTTCTCTATTTCTTTATCCAGATGATCCTGATCTAAAAAAATCAGATGGGCAAACAGAGGACAAGGTTATACTATAGACACAGACTGACCCAAAGGGAGTCAGGGATGCTGGCCTCTCCCCCCGCCCTTGAAAGCAAGGGCTCTGAGCATTTGGGAAGGAAAAGCGGACTTCAGAGACCAACTGAGGAAGGAACTAAAGACTAAAGAAGGGACGTGACCTGCCCAGGAGCACTCAGTGAGCCCAGGATACAGTGAGCACAGCAGCCCTGACACTCAGCTTGCTGACCTGTTTTCATTATGCAGAGTAGCTTGGGGTGGTCAGTGGATGGGGGAAGAAACATCAGGATTTTAGGTCCCTCCATGGTGAAATTACAGAAAATTCAAATGTAAGAACAAAATCAAGAACCTAGACTCAGCCCACCCTAAGATGGTTGGAAAATGGGTGGCTGAGGAATTTTACAAACTCGTCCGTCAAGGTGAGGGGTTTTGAGACAAGCATGATGTGCTAACATGCGATCTAAACAACCAATGCCAAACTTAATGCTCAAGCTTCACATAATTAACCACAGGGAAGAGAAAAGGCTATCTTACCGCTAACAGACTGCAGCTGAAGGCAAACTGCATCAGGAGAAGTAGAGGCTAGCCAAGCTTGATGGTACAACTGACTACCATCACCCAACCAGCCCCACCTGCTCACGAGTGACCCTCTGGCTCGTCTGTCTTCCCCAGACTCACTCCTTCTGATGGGGAGAAGCCCTGACCAGCCAAGCCTTCTGTCCTAGGCAATGGTTCCAGGTCTCACTGTAAACGAGTAACCCCAATCTCTCACGAGCTTGTTTAGCCTGTGTCAATCCCTGAGAATCAGGGATGATGATGTCTCAGAACCCCTCCAGGTACAGTGACAAGACCACATTTGTGGGCCGAGAGAGCTGAGGACAACCACCTCTTCTGAAAATGTAGCCTGAGCGGTCTCCATCCCACCATCCAAGCACAATGACAACTCTTAACTTTATAACCATAATATTAGTGTGTGTTTTTCAACAGGACAACTGGAAACTTCTCCAGGCTGATCTAGTTTCCTTTGCTAGAATTTTTATTTCAACAGGGACAGAGATACCCTATCTTCAGGGCCTGAGGCAACCTTGCTGGTCCTACTGGCCCCTACGTTTCCAAAGGTGGGGAAGAGAAAATATGCGTAACTTGCTCTTTTCCCAGACAAGCGGCCATTTGTAGCCTGTCTTTTTGCCTTCATGATGCTTCTCCAAAGAGCCTCCAAGATCATGGCTGTGAAGATTTGAGTAACATACATAGAGGGGCTGGGCTGTGGCAGACCGTAGAGGTTCACTCTCTCCAAACCTGCATTTTCAACTCAGTCTCTCTTGCAGGGGATGTGAAAAATCAAAGCTCACCCCCCCGCTGCAGGCTCCCCTGCAGCTCTGGGCGGCCATAAGACTTAGTGCTGGCCTAGGAGATGTTGGAAGCCCCTGAGGAGGGCAGCCTTCCTTCCAAAATAGAAGGCAAGGTCACATATGGAGAAAGCCCTCTGCCTTTCCTCCAGCCTGGCACGTGGACATGAGGCCTGCAGCGAGGACACAACAACCATGAGACTATGCTAAGCTGACACTGCTAAACAGCAGAGCCAGTCCTGGACCGCTCACCTCTGGACAACTTCTTCCTCTATTTCCTTAAGCCTCCATTTGTTGAGTTTTCTGTTATTTGTGGCCCACCCTGCTCCTCACTGATAAAGAAGCACTATGCTGGGCAGGCATACTGTTAGATCTCAACTTAACAACATAGATGCACCCCCCCTTTAGGGATGAGGAAATAACTCGGCAGCAAAGCAGGGATTAAAACCCACATCAGTCTGAACCCGTCAACAGAGCCGCCTCTCGTCGAGCTGCCCAAAGCCTGACGCTCAGTTCCGGGTTAAGACGGAGGCTGGGGTGGGAGGCAGCCGCGTCCCTGACCCGTGCCCAGGAGGCCTTACCTTTCTCAATCATTTCCTTCGTCTCAGGGTGAGTCATCTTGATAAACATGTTCCCGAAGCAAACCATCACATCTTCTGAAATGGCAAACAGTCATTCCCTCAACAAATATTTTTTGAGCACTTACTATCTTCCAGGCATTGTTTTAGATGCTGAGAACACAGCAGAACAAGACAAAGTTCCTGCCCTCATAGAGCTTATGCTGTAATGGTGGAGAGGAAACAAATAAGCAAAGATATGCTCTGTCAGACGCTGACAAGTCTAAGTACTGTAGAGAAAAATAAAGCAGAGTGAGAGGGATGGGCAATGCCAGAGTAGGCGAGGGACCTGTTACTTACACCAGGTGGTCCGAGAAGGTCTCACTGAGAGGAATTTCTCAGTGTGAGAAATTTCTCACTTCTTTGACATTTGGGCAGAGACCCAAAGAAAGTAAGGAGAGTGAGGACGTGAGCCCTGCAGGCATCTGGGGAAAGAGCGAGCCAGGCAGAGGAAACAGAAACAGCTCAGTAATGTGCCTGGAGTGTTAGAAACGGCAAGGAAACCAGTGTAGATGGAGAGTGAGTGATGGGGAGAGTAGAGGAGATGATCGTGGAGAGTTCAAGTGGGTCTGGACTACTTGGGGTCTCGCAGGACTGGGTCTTACTCTGGTGAGATGAGAAGCAACTGGAAGGTTTCAGGCTTTCCAGGGCGCTTGAAACAAAACTCGAACTTCTTCCCTCGGCCCCCAAGGCCCTTCATTATGGCCTGGCCTCTGCCCATCTCTCCAGCCTTATCACGCACCCCTCCCCCACTGCTTACCCTGTCACAGCCACTTGGCCTCATCTAAAGAACCCCATCCCTTCCTCCAACACCTACCCCACGTCCAGTTCCGTCTTCGGCTTTCTCCCAATTTTCAATTACGTAATTATGTCGTCTTGACTTACCAGAGAGGCTCAGGTCCCTCTGCAGGGCTCTCAGGCCCTCTCGGTTCTGATTCCTTTTGGTGTCCAGGTCCACAATCTGAAAAGCACAGGGGCAGGAGGGAACTCAGCTGCCTCTTGCTCCTACCTGTCACCCCCCAACAGACCAGGGGCTCTTAAAACCTAACAGAGAACGAGGCGTCACTCCCGGGTTACTTCCAATGTCCTGTCTAAAAGGGGCTGATGTATGAATGTTTCTCTTTCCCCACTCAGCTTCCAGGTCCTTAAAGACCACACTTCGTGCAGGTGTCTTCCTCCCAGAGAAGATGCTGGGAAAACGTTTGCTGACTAAACGGATAATTTCTTAGTACCCACTGGGGCACTAGTTCTCAAGCTCTTGGGCATTTCAGAATCACCAGGGGAGTGGAGTCCTCTCCCTGGATTAGCTCCTCCATCTGATTTTGACCTCGTATCATGAGAAATCCTAAAATACTAGACTGGAACAGCAGGGGTGGGGGCACTGAGATGGTGGTAACATGGCAATAGCTAATAAGGAAGTGAGGAGGTAGTGAGGTATACTGCCTGGGAGCACTGGCTCTGGAGCCCCAAGACCAGGCTTGAATCCTGCTGCCTACGAGCTGTGTAATTTCACCTTCCTTAGCACAGTACTTGACACACACTAAGTACTTGATAAACTTTAACTGCTAGTATTACTATCACCCAGCTCACCTTGATGCAGTGTTTAATGAGCTCTTCCCCTTCTCAGTAAATACCCGACCACCCACGCAATCTTTCTAACTGCAGATGAGCAGTCAGGAACCATTCTTGATCCTCCCACTCCCTCACCCCTCTATGTAACCATCATCAAGGCCCACTAAGTCCATCTCCAAAATATATTTCAGACCCATTCGCTTGTCTCCATCACCGCCCCCCTGGTCCAAATGCATCTCTCACCTGAACCATGGCAATGGCCCCTCACAGGCCCCTTGTCCCCCACTATATTCTGTGCCCCACAAGGGGCCAAAGGGATTCTTTTAAAACCTAAATCCAATTCCATCATCCTCCCTTCGCCCCCATGAACTCCTTTCAGACACTTCAATTACAACCAGACCCAAATCGCTGGGCCGGTCTACAAGGTCCCCCCTGATGCGCCCCACCTTCCTCCAACGTCCCCACTCCCGCGCCATCACAAGACCACTCAGGCCTCTTTTCTGGTCCTCTTCTCCCCTCAGGGCCTGGACCCGGGCGGTGTAGCCTAGATCAATTAGGGGGCCCAGGAACTGCATTTTGAAAAACGTGTGCACGTACACCGCCCAAAGGAGCAACGGTCAGGATCCAGACAGCACGGCAAGGGGCAGAGAAAGGATGGAGAGGGAAGGCCTAGCACAGAGCAGCCGCTCACTTAATGGGGGCCGAATAAATGAGCGAAGCGCGGCGCTGTGCCAAGCGTCTGACCCACATTATCTCACAACCGTCACAACCATCAGCGCACCTGCCCGGGTCAACTCGCTGAGAGCCGGTGCCCGAGCCAAACTCCGGACCCGCGCGCTTCCCCACGGCGCCCGCCGCCAGGCCGCAAGCGCCCAACCCCGGCCCCAGCGCCGCGGACGGGCCTCCCACCTGCCGCTTGTCCGCCAGCACCTCCTCGGCGAGCTCCTCCACCTCCACCAGGTACCGCAGCACCCGCTCCGCCTCGGGCGACAGCATGGAGCCCACCAGCTCGGACTCTGCTCCCACACAAGCCGACTCTAGCTCCGCTCCGTCTCCGCCTGCGCAGGCGCCGCTCTGACAGGCCTGCCGGCGCGCATGCGCAACTAAAGCAGACCCGTGGCGCGCAGGCTCCAACGCACGCTCGCCAGCCGGACACGGGAGGCGGGGCCTTGCTTTGGGGCGCGGCTGGAGCGCCCCCTACAGGCCCAGAGAGCACAGGCTGAAGTGTTGCGTCTTCCCTTTCCCTCCGTTCGTTTATTTCTTGAGCACCTACTATGTGCCAGGCAGTTTTAGATGCTGAGGATGCAGCAGCGAACAAAACAAAGTCCCTGCCCTCGTGCAACACCGACAATTAATGACAAAACAAATAATTATACACTATGGCAGTCAGTGAGAGAGCTTTGGAGAAATATAAATCATTCTTCCCCTGTTTGAGGAACACCAAGGAGGCCCATGTGGCAGTGCGACTTATAGTGAACCTCTGACGCCTTCAGTTTCCAATTTATAAAACGGAAGTCAATAAAGATCCCCCTCATTGTCTCTCTGCAGGACTAGAAGGAGGCAGGAATCACTTTCAATTCAGTTTGACCAGTGTTCATTGAACCCCTGTGTTGGGCCCAATGTCCAGCATAGTTGACCTAGACCCAAGGAAGGGGCTGGAAAACCATGGGCAGTGAGCAATGAAGTCTGTGAGTTCCGGAAAGCGAATCACTGTGGGCTGTAGGATCCGGGAGGACCTCCAAGAAGAGGCAGGCAGGTGGAAAGTGGCTGCCCTTCATAACCAGAGAGTTCCCTAGAGATCATTATGCCCAAACCCCTCTGTGTACGGCTGGAAGAACAAGGCTCAGAGAGCGGTGAGGACTGCAAAAAGTCAACAGCAGACCTGATACGAGAACTCTGACCTCCTGCCTCCCTGAGTCCAGCGTCTTATTCTCCCCTTTTGGCCCCTTGGAACCAAGCCCTTTCCACCCCTTGCCTTACTTGAATTTCACAACAACCTTTGTACGGGTGAGTTATTACTGCCCCATTTCACGGCTGCAGACTGAGGCCGGGAGAAGGGCAATTCTTTGTCACACACATATCAGAAGCAAACGTGAGTCTAGAAGCTCCAACCACAGCTGTCTCTGGATCTTGAAAAGAAACTCTCCCCAAACTGTGGCCCCAGCAGTTCCAGGAGCGCCTCCTCATTTTCTGGCCTTTGGCTTCCTTCAGCTGCTAGAGGCCCAGCTAATTATCCCTGCAGCCGCCTGGCGTGGAGAAAGAAGGAGATTCATTAAGGATTCCTCACTGAGGGTGAATTTGTTGCCAAACCCAGGATGTTTTGAGTAAACACCTTCTGGTTCAGAAACGCAGACACAGGCCCTGTGAAGGAAGGGGGAACATTTGCCAAAGGAGCAACTGGGCTCACCAGGCCTCCCTGGGGCCTGGACCCCAGAACTGGGTCTCCTCTTTGGGGCCCAAAGAGGGCTGGACCAGGCTGACCCCTGACCCCTGCTAGTTGGGCCCGGATGGGGAAGGGTTGAGGGAGCCTCCCCTGTTGGCAGCTTCTTGGCCGTGACCGACCCTTAGAGGGCACCCCTGGCCTCTAGAAGTGTTGGGGAGGGACGTCATACCCAAGACTTTGAGACAGTCAGACCTGGAAAAACTCTTGCTTCAGAACCACTTATGTTCCAGAACCATCTATTTCACAAATATTTATTCACTGCCCTGGCCCTGTTATAGAGATTCCACCAGGAACAAAACCAGACATGGTCCTTGCTCTCAGACAGCTTCCAGTCTGGTGGGAGAGACCGTCAATAAACACATGGACAAGTAAATGTATCATATGTCAGGTGGTGACGAGTGCTTTGAGAACAACAGAGCAGGCCAAGGTGGAGAGGGAATGAGGGAGGAGCTGTCTGAGAAAAGGTGGTCAAGGAGGGCTTCTCTGAAGAGTTGGCGTTTGAGCAGAGATGTGGAGGAGGTGAGGAGTGAGCCATGTGGATATCTGGGGGAAGAGCATTCCGGGCAGAGGGAACAACAAACACCAAGGCCCTGAGATGAGCCTTTGTTTGGCAAGTTGGAAGGACAGCGAGGCCAGTGTAGGTGGAACAGAATGAGCAAGGAGGAGAAGTAAGAAATGAGGGCAGAAGGAGGAAGGCGGCGTTAAGCATATGGGGCTATAGAAAGGGCTGTAGGTGCCCCGTCCAAATGGGCAAGGCCCTCCCTGGCAGTCGCCTGCAGACACTGCTGCACAGGCCTGTGGCTTCCTGCTTCTGAGCTCACGGATGCAGGTTGAGTGGGGAAAGCCGATGAGTTACCCACAGGAGCAGCCCTCAACCGAGAAGAGAGAGGAGTTAGTGGCTGCATAGCCCAGCTTCTTTGCCCCGCTGTGGGAGACCCAAGAGGAGGCTGCTGCAATCATCCAGGTAAGAGAGGATGGTCGCTGGACCAGGGAAGCAGTGGGGATGGTGAGCAGTGGTGGGATTCTCAAGGCCTTTGCACACACTCCTCCATCAGCCTGGGTTAATTTTCTCCCATATCTTTATACCTGTGTAACTAATACGTATCCCCCACTTGTTGGCTTGGTGTCACTTATTTCCAAGGGTCAAGAATTGGGGCCCCCACAGCTTCCTGAGCTTCTCCCGTCTCTGCACTTACCACACCATCTTTTTTCTCTAATCATCTCCCTCTCTATTCGTGAGCTCCTCAGGGCGGGGACCTAGTCTGTCTTGTTCCCTGCAATGTCTCCAGAACCTAGAATGGTGCCTGGCACACAGTAGGTGCTCAGTCAGTGTTTATGGAATGAATGAGTGGACTCAGCATGAAGCAGAACTTTCTAAAATCCAAAGTATCCAATGAGCAGAGCTAACTCAAGGGTAGCTAGTTCCCATCCCAGAAGGTCTATATGACTGGACTGCTCCGTGGTCGGGATTTTGCAGAGGGTGCATCCTTCTGCAGCCTGGGTGGGGATGATCCCTAAGTCTTTCCTAACCAGAAAAACTCTCCCTAGTCACATTGGGGTATGCCCCCATCTTTAGCCACCTCAAGCCCGGGCTGAAAGGGAGGTAGCTGCTGGGGCTTTGGCCTTTGGGGACTGGAGCCAACAAGAATGATGCTCCACCCATTCCCCTTGGGTCTCCTTTTACTGTTTCTGTGTGTCCCCTTGGGTATGTGTTCAGTGACCAGCACCCCTTCTCTCCTTGGGAGGACTGCCCTCAGGCTGCCGGAGCTCCGGGGAGACTTACCCTCCCTCCACGCTGTGACCCATCACTGCAGGGATAGGAAAGTCCACCTGCCTTGCCTGGGATGCTGGCGTGTAGGCGGATAACTCTGAGGTGTAACTTATACTCCACAGTTCCCCTGTGGGATCAGGCTGAGCTGCCACCCACATGACACCCGCAAGCCCTGTTTGACTTCCTCTCCATCTTGGTCCTGCGTCCCCCACTCATTCATGGTCAAAACCCTCCAATGCTCGCATCTCACTCAGTAAAAGCCAAACGCCTTACGGAGGCCCCCAAGGCCCTATGTGACCTGCCCTACCTCTCTGAGGCATCTCCCACCTCTCTCCCCTCTCCTTGCTGTTCCTCAAACAAGCCAGGCATAGTCTCACCTCAGGGCCTTTGCACTGGCTTCTCCCTCTGCCTGCACTTTCCCTTGATGTCTACATGTCTCCCTCCCTTGCCTCCTATAAGTCTTTGCTTAAATTTCACCTTCTCAATGAGGCCTACCCTGACCACTCTATTTAAAAATGCAACCCTCCCACTCCCAGTATTCTTGATCCACTTCCTCTGCTCTACTTTTTCTTTTTTTCCATAACATTTTTCACTTTACAACATGCTATATAATTTACTTATATTTACTGTTAATCTCTCTCTGCTAGAAAGGAAGCTCTGTGAGAGCAGGAATTTTTGTCTCATTTGTTCCTGATATATCCCAAATGCCTAGACAGTGCCTGGACCATAGTAGGTGCTCAATAAACATTTTTGAATGAATGAATGAGGAAAAGAGCCAGAATTCTAACCAAGGCAGATCCTCTCTAAGGCCAGGGTCTTAACCCCTATGCTGGATGTGGGGGGTGGGAGTGGCAGATCACACTAGGCCTTGCCAGCTAAGGTAAGGGGATTGGATTTTGTTCACAGATCAGTGCGAAGCCACTGGAGGGTTCTGAGCAAGCACAGGACACAATTGGGTTTACTTTGTGAAGCCCCCTCTGGCTGTGGATGGGCTAAAAGGGGCAAGCATGGTGCAGTCCTCTGGGGGGGTGTTGGAGGTGGGACGGTGATGATGGGGCTTGGAGAGGTGACAGCGCTGCGGCTACACTGGGCCTGGGAGCAGCGAGAAACCGGCTCAATATCCCGATTCTCCAGGCAGCCTGGGTGGCTGCCCCACTGGCTCTGGCCTGTGAGTTGTCCAGGCCAGGCCTCCCAGCTGCTCACAACATGCCCCTGTCCCACAGTTGGACTGTTTGCTCTCCTGGGTGGTCCCCAGCTCCTCCCTCCGCTTCCTTTGCGCCCTTGTGGGCTTGGCAGGTGGAAGGAAAGCCTCCACTCCCTCTCCTCCCCTGACCCGGAGAATAATCCCTTATATTCATGCAATTCTCCTCCTGCCCTGACTTCATCCTCCCACATCTCCGGGTAACACAGAAATCTGATTCCCATTGGGCAGATGAGGATATTGAGGCCCGGAAAGAGGATGGGACCCTCCCAAGGTCATGCAGCCAGATGGGGCCGCCAGGTGGGGACCTGTCTCCCAACTCCCCATGCCTCGATTTCATCAGGCAACAGATGGTCCCAAGGCTTGACTTGAAAAAGCTTAAGTGATCTCAAAGAGAATACAAGCCCAGAACATTCCAGGCCTCCCTGAGCTGGTCTTTACTACTACCTTTAATACTAAATCCATTCATTTTAAATTCCATGAATAGATTCTTCTTATCAAAAATGAAAACATCACAGAGAAGACTAAAGTTCCGTTTGACAGCCCTCCCCCCATCTCAGTTCCCTCCCAGTTTGGATGTGTCTTTTCAGAACTGTGATATTCATTTAAAGACATAGTTAGGAGCCCAGAGAACATG